AAAATTAAGTTCTTTCTAAATTTTCTCTTATACGTTTGAAGATATATTTTTTAATTTATGTTAATGTAAAAATTAATAATTTTGTACCAAAAGAACCCCAGAAAACTTAATCTTATTATAAAAAGCTTAGTTTAATTTAGCCTAATGCAACAAAATATATTTTAGATAAGTTTACAATAATTTAATAAACACAATGAAATGTATTTTTTTCATGAGGTTCACAAGAATTTTTGCAAAATTATTGCATGCACAAATTTTTGCTTGCCTTATTCAGCAATAAGAGTGTTGCTATTTAAGCCGAAATTGCAAGTTTTACCTATTCAGCACGGCATATTATATATGTACAGTAGGGCCCCACTTGTATGGCAGGTTAGATTCCAGGCTACTGCCGGAAAGCAGACATTGCCAGAAAGCAGGACACCATTTTCTTTTCACTTATAAATGCATATAAATACCAGATAACAAGTTTACACTAACATATATTAAGTTAGCAATAGAACTAGGCATTAAAAGCAATAAAAAGTATAATGCACGCACAGTACACCCATTACATACCTTAAAATATTTGTAGTCTTAATGTAGGGTGAGAGGTGAGTTTTATTTGTAGGAAGTCAGGTTTGGGAGGTATGGTAGCCAGCCAGGTCAGCCCACCCCACCCACATGTAATAAATACTCTGACATTTAAGCACCCCAGAGCGATAAAATACACACATAGTACATTCATTAAACACCTTGAACTATTTGTAGTTTTAATGTAGGGTGAGAGGTGAGTTTTATTTGTAGGAAGTCAGGTTTATGAAGTATGGTAGCCACCCAGGGCAGACCTCCCCACTCCACCCCACCCACACATAAAGTAAACAAACCAGGCGAACATGTCTGGTGTTCATTCATACATCTTTGTATTATACCATAATACAAACACTTTACATTGTGTACAAGTTGTCTCCACGTTGATACAGTAGAATAAATAAAGAGCAACACTTCCATTCTCATGTACGTAAGTTTTAGAAGGAATTATGCTCTGAGAAATTATTATTATTACAAATTATTATTATCATCAAAAAAGAAGCGCTAAACCCACAAGGGTTGTGAATATCTAGGGTGAAGGCATACGAATGGAATAAATTTCTAGTTAGGTTACTGGTGTTTGACTAGAGACAACATAATTCTTCTGACACACTACAAACCGCTTGTTAAACAGATCTCATATAAATGTCAGTTTTTATACTGTGAGTGTATGTATCATGTTTATATGTTACATAGCATGTTTATTATATAATTTTGAAAAAAAATATCATAGATGGATTAATGGAAATGTCTATATTAACGTAATATATGTCATTTTACTATGCCCAAGAGATTATGTGGCATCAAGTAGAGAGAGACTTAGTAATTTTAATGTGTACGTGCATGCCAGCAGTGTGTAAGTATATTTAGGTACAGGTACACATAAGTATAATTATCAGAGTACATATAAATATGCAATAACTTTAAAACACTTAAAATTTTGAAAAATTTCCAGACATAATAGAGAGTTGTGCTCATGAAGAATGTAAACAAACTGGGTGGGGCGCATCGTATTTGAAAGGCAAAATGCTGTAAAGCGGGGCCCTACCCTGTGTGTGTGTGTGTGTGTGTGTGTGTGTGTGTGTGTGTGTGTGTGTGTGTGTGTACGTACTTGCCTATTTGTGGTTGCAGGGGTTGAGTCATAGCTCCTGACCTCACCTCTTCATTGATTGCCACTAGGTCCTTTCTCTCCCTGTTCCATGAGCTTTGTCAAACTTCATCTTAAAACTGTGTGTGGTTCCCACCACTGCCTGACAACTATGACTGAAGAAATATTTCCTAACATCACTTTGACTCATCCGAGTCTTCAGCTTCTAGTTGTCACCCCTTGTTTCTGTGTCCCATCTCTGGAACATCCTGTCTTTGTCCACCTTGTCTCTTCTGTGCAGTATTTTATATGTCATTATCATGTCTCCTCTGACCCTCCTGTCCTCCAGTGTTGTCAGGCCAATTTCCCTTAACCTTTCTTCGTAGGACAATCCCCTTAGCTATGAGACTAGTCTTGTTGCAAACCTTTGCACTTTCTCTAATTTCTTGATGTGCTTGACCAGTTGTGGATTCCAAGCTGGTGCTGTATACTCCAGTATGGGCCTGACGTATGTGGTGTACAGAGTCTTGAACAATTCCTTACTGAGGTATCGGAATGCTATCCTTAGGTTTGCTAGACGCCTGTATGCTGCAGCAGTTTTCTGGTTGATGTGCACCTCAGGAGTACACACACACACACACACACACACACGTACACACACACACGTACACACACACACGTACACACACACAGTACACACACACACGTACACACACAACGTACACACACACACGTACACACACACACGTACACACACACACGTACACACACACACGTACACACACACGTACACACACACACGTACACACACACACGTACACACACACACGTACACACACACACGTACACACACGTACACACACACACGTACACACACACGTACACACACACACGTACACACACACACGTACACACACACACGTACACACACACACGTACACACACACGTACACACACACGTACACACACACACGTACACACACACGTACACACACACGTACACACACACGTACACACACACGTACACACACACGTACACACACACACACACACGTACACACACACACACACACGTACACACACACACTCACACACACAGAGTAAACTATCAGTATAGCAGACTAATAGGGAGAATTGTCCAAGTGTCCATTAAATGAGAACAGTGTTAAAAAAATAGGAAAAAAGCAATAAAGTACTCCAGTATGTACCTAATATTGTACTATGTACACAATTTGCAGATGTATTGCAATAAATATTGAAAATAAAGGTGCTAAGAGTACAATTCAACTATCGTATTTTGCCCATTATTGTAAAAGTCCATCAAATTCAAGGTTTACTGTGGTGTGTGTGTGTGTGGGGGGGGGGGTTGTGCATGGGTGTGTGTACTCACCTAGTTGAGGTTGCAGGGGTCGAGTCCGAGCTCCTGGCCCTGTGTGTGTGTGTGTACTCTCCTAGTTGAGGTTACAGGGGTCGAGTCCAAGCTCCTGGCCCCGCCTTTTCACTGGTCGCTACTAGGTCACTCTCCCTGAACCATGAGCTTTATCATACCTCTGCTTAAAGCTATGTATGGATCCTGCCTCCACTACATCGCTTCCCAAACTATTCCACTTCCTGACTACTCTTCCTGTACTCTTTGTGTGTGTGTGTGTGTGTGTGTGTGTATTTGTTTGTTATGCACACAATTTATCTGTATGACAAATTAGGTGGCTTGCAGTTGCATGCAACAGGTCACATCCCTGGCCAGAGGGCAGTAAAGTTTTTGACATACACAAATGTTTATGTAGTGAACTAATTCAAATAACATACAAATTTCATAAACACATATAGGTAATGAAACATCTATGCATGTTCAACTCAAATGCTCTGATGTGCGATAACAATCACTATCTCCAAGCTTGTTTTGAACTCAGAATCTAGCAATTTCTCGCTGTCTTTGACTACATCACATCTATCACTCTTGCTATACTACCAAAAGTGTCGTAGAGTGATAGAGGTGATATTCTTCAAGGTGGGGTGGTGTTGCAGGGCTGTTTGTTCAAGCACTTGAGGCTAGCAATTGTTCTCAAAGGCAAATGAACAAATACACATAAACACACACACACATATGAGGCATTACAGATAGTAAGCTCAAACTCAACATGTGAATGTTATTTAAAAAATGCATTAATGAACTATTCATGCATGTATAAATAAAAAATATTGAAGTTTTTCACACTTAATTTTAATTAATTTTTACATGCATAAATAGTCTTTAATGTATTTTTCCATTGTTGAGGTGTTGACGTCCTACCTGTAGTGCCTTAAACATTATTTCAGAATCATTGTGAAGTTTGCAGCCAGTGTTGTTTATGGGGTCATATAGACATACTCTTCATTAGTAGCCTTCTAAAGATGCTGCTAATCATAAAACGTCTTTTTAAGACAACGTAAGAGAGAGAGAACGAGAGGTCGTAGCTTGAGGCTTGAAGGAGGAGGATGGACGCGCAGTGTCGTGCTGGCCAGATCCTAGGACCATCCTGAGTTGGAACACGCGAGCCAGCTCGAGCCAGCCTTTCCTTGCCTGACCACACAAATGAGATAATACCTTGACTGTCTGTCTTCTGTACGGCCTTGTACTGAGGCTGTTGTAGCTGCTCTGCACATCATCTGTATACCTGTAGCTCTAGTGGAGGGTGGGGTAAGCCCCACCTCTACCTGGGTTAATTGCAACTTAGGGTTGGCCCTTTGCCGGGGGCCAAGTGGTGGCAGATGTTGGCCTGTTGCTGACGGAGGTTGGCCTCGCGATAGTGGGTGCAGGCGACCTCGCGCTGTTGAGTAACGACTCCGCATTTCCCTTGAATTACTGATCCCCATAACCAGGACAGGTAAATCAGGGTACTAGACTGGACTGCTGAATTGGCCTTTTAAAGTATGTAGCATTCCTAGAATTGGAATTATGAAAATTGCCTTTTAAATGTTGTCAGTCCAGCATTCATTTTAGAAAAATAATTGTATTATAATTCTTTCATAATATGAATGCCTTTCCTTGTGGTGTTGTATGTATGTCTCTTCATTTCAGGACCATATGTAAACATTGAGTGAGTACTAAATGCTCACTCGTTAACTTTTTATTGTCATTCATATTGTCCTTATCTTATGTTTTGATCAGAGCTGTTGATTTCACTACACCTGAATGCTTTTTAATTCAAGTAGGTTCCATTCATTATTAAATTTTTGATATACAATAGTTCAATCTGAGACATCCTTTATTTTCTTATAATTATTTATATACTTACGAAGATCTCTTATGTATTACCTATTTTTGTTTTGATGGTATTTAATTGTAATATAAATTTTCCATTGGCAGGATCTCAAAGACTTCATGCGTCAGGCAGGGGAGGTTACCTATGCCGATGCCCACAAGCACAGGAGAAATGAAGGGTACGGTTTATTTCTCTCACATCTGTTTACCCTATTATAGAGTACTTAAATTCAGTGATACAGTGGAACCTCTACTTGTGAGCGCATCCACATGCGAATTTTTCCAAATACGAGCAGTCAGTGGATCGATTTTTTGATTCCATATGTGAGAAAAATTTTCATAAGCGAGCAGACCTCAAGGCAGGTTCCTTGGTGCTGGTTAGGGGTTCTTGCTCTTGATCTAGGGAATTGTATCTCATTTGTTTGTTGGACTATCTTATTGAAACTTGGGCATTGTATGATGGAAAGATGCTTCTTAACGTACACCAAAAATGAAAGTAATCGGAGCATAAATAATGGAGTTCACTTCCTAGCAATTAGCCACCCCTTAGCGGTATTTTTTTGTATGGTTTTTATGTTTGTATTCTCGTTTTTTTTTGGTCTCATTTGATAGAATGGAAGATATGTTACAGAAATAGATATGATTTTGATTGCTTTCACAACTAAAAGTACCTTGAAATTGAGCTCAGCATAGGAGAAGTGTTCAATTGCTTGGCTGTGTTCTAGAGTAAACAAATGAAGTCACTGTCCATTCCAATATGCAGTCGTGAATGGGTTGACATTATTTATAAAATTATTGCAGTAAGGCATAGCAGTAAATCTTATATTTTTTATGTGAATAAAAATTATAAATTATTTATATTATAATAATATGTATAATGATAATACATATAATAATAATAGTATAATGTAAAATACAGTGGACCCTCAGCTAACGATATTAATCCGTTCCTGAAAGCTCATCGTATGCTGAAATTATCGTTAGCTGAATTAATTTTCCCCATAAGAAATAATGGAAATCAAATTAATCCGTGCAAGACACCCCAAAGTATGAAAAAAAAAAATTCCACATGAAATATTAATTTTAATACACACAAACTGACACTTACCTTTATTGAAGATCTGGTGATGATTGATGGGATGGGAGGAGGGGAGAGTGTGGAAGTTGTTAATGTTTAGAAGGGGAATCCCCTTCCATTAGGACTTGAGGTATCGAGTCATTTTCCGGGGTTACTTCCCTTCTTCTTTTAATGCCACTAGGACCAGCTTGAGAGTCACTGGACCTCTGTCGCACAACATATCAGTCCATAGAAGCCTGTACCTCCCGTTCTTTTATGATTTGTCTAAAGTGGTTCACAACATTGTCATTGTAATAGTCACCAGCACGACTTGCAATAGCTGTGTCAGGGTGATTTTCATCCATAAAGCATCAAAAAAACCATACCCCCGGCCGGGATTGAACCCGCGGTCATAGTCTCAAAACTCCAGCCGTCGCGTTAGCCACTAGACCAGCTAGCCACAATAAGATTCATCCAACTAGGTGTATTTCTACACCATAGGAAGGTTAGCACAGGCACCTCTGTGACCACAAATGCAAGTTTTTACAGACGAATCTCCAGCTAGAGTGGCCGTGACGAACTCTAGCTCAAGTCCCTTCACTGCCGTCAACATGACTCAAGAAATCGTAATGACACGATTGCAATCGTGTCATTACGATTTCTTGAGTCATGTTGACGGCAGTGAAGGGACTTGAGCTAGAGTTCGTCACGGCCACGCTAGCTGGAGATTCGTCTGTAAAAACTTGCATTTGTGGTCACAGAGGTGCCTGTGCTAACCTTCCTATGGTGTAGAAATACACCTAGTTGGATGAATCTTATTGTGGCTAGCTGGTCTAGTGGCTAACGCGACGGGCTGGAGTTTTGAGACTCTATGACCGCGGGTTCAATCCTGGCCGGGGGTATGGTTTATTTGCAATCGTGTCATTACGATTTCTTGAGTCAATTCATCCATAAAGGTTTGCACTTCAAGCCACTTTGCACACATTTCCTTAATCTTTGAAGTAGGCATCTTCTTCAATTTCTCTCTCCCCTCCTCCAAAGCAGTTTCCTCAGGTCTGGCCTCTTGCTGTTGAAGATGATCTTGCAGCTCATCAGTGGTTAGTTCTTCATTGTCCTCCTCCACCAACTCTTCCACATCCTCCCCACTAACCTCCAACCCCAAGGGCTTCCCCAATGCCACAATTGATTCCACAACTGGCATACGCTTCTCAGAGTTAGCCTCAAATCCTTCAAAATCCCTTTTGTCTACACATTCTGGCCACAGTTTCGTCCAAGCAGAGTTCAAGGTCCTCTTAGTCACTCCCTCCCAAGCCTTACCTATAAGGTTTACGCAACTGAGGATACTAAAGTGATCTTTCCAAAACTCTCTTAGTTAATCGAGTGTCTGTGGTCACTACAAAGCACTTTTGAAACATAGCTTTTGTGTAGAGTTTTTTGAAGTTTAAATGACCTGCTGGTCCATGGGCTGCAGGAGAGGAGTGGTATTAGGAGGCAAAAACTTGACCTTAATGAAGCTCATGTCCCCAGAAAGTCGCTCTGCCAAGTCTGAAAGATGACCAGGAGCATTGTCTAATACCAGGAGAAACTTAAGGTTCAATTTATTTTCCAGTAGGTAATTTTTCACAGTGGGGGCAAATGCATGGTGTAACCAGTCATAGAAAAGGTCTCTAGTGACCCATGCCTTACTGTTTGCCCTCCACATCACACACAAATTAGCCTTAAGGACATGTTGTGCCTGAACACTCTGGGAGTTTCAGAGTGATACACCAATAAAGGCTTCACTTTGCAATCACCACTAGCATTAGCACACATCAAGAGAGTAAGCCTGTCTTTCATAGGCTTATGTCCTGGGAGTGCCTTTTCCTCCTGAGTAATGTAGGTCCTGTTTGGCATTTTCTTCCAAAACAGGCCTGTTTCGTCAAAATTAAACACTTGTTCAGGTTTCAGTCCTTCACTGTCTATGTACTCCTTGAATTCCTTCACATACTTTTCAGCCGCTTTTTGGTCCGAACTGGCAGCCTCACCATGCCTTATCACACTGTGTATGCCACTACGATTCTTAAATCTCTCAAACCAACCTTTGCTGGCCTTAAATTCACTCGCATCACCACTAGTTGCAGGCATTTTTCTAATTAAATCATCATGCAACTTCCTAGCATTTTCACATATGATCGCTTGAGAGATGCTATCTCCTGCTATCTGTTTTTCGTTTATCCACACCAATAACAGTCTCTCAACATCTTCTATCACTTGCGATCTCTTATTCGAAAACAAAGTTGCACCTTTTGCAAGAACAGCTTTTTTGATTGTTGTTTTCTTGGCCACAGTAGTAGCGATGGTTGACTGGGGTTTGGTATACAACCTGGCCAGCTCTGAGACACGCACTCCACTTTCGTTATAGCAATTATCTCTTTCTTCATATCCATAGTAATTCTCACCCTTTTTCCTGCAGGGTTGGCACTAGAAGCTTTCTTGGGGCCCATGGTGACTTATTTTGCAGGTACAATCACTAAAAACGCTATGATAATATGAAATGTTCCAATTGTATGCGTGGATGCGACCGCACTGGCTAGCTTGTAAACACTGGCACCCACGGGACAACTGAGGCTCGCTCAGGCCACACGTGGACACGTCTCGAATGAATCGCGTAGGTTGAGTTTTTTAGCGTTAGCGTTAGCTGGATTTAACGTTAGGTGATGCCATCGTTAGCTGAGGGTCCACTGTAATAATAATAATAATAATAATATAATACGTATAATAGTAATACATATATATTGTACTACATAATAATTATAATAATAGATGGCTTCAAAGGGTCATCACTAGATGGCAGTGTTTACCACAACAAAGAGGGAGTGGTTGTGGCCGCCTCCACCTGTTACGTAATGACATATTTTATTCATTCTAGAGTATTTATCAGGTTTCTGTGTTATTTATATTGTTTGTTATGTCATATTAGATGAACTGTGATAGATAAATAAGCTGTATAGATGATATTAGTGAAATTATTCACAGAAGTATTTTGTCCGGTCTCCAGACAAACTCGTCCTTTGCCAACACTGCTCATACCACTACGTGAATTACATATTTTATTCATTTTAGAGTATATATCAGGTTTCTATGTTATTTATATTCTTTATTATATCATATTAGATGAAGTGAGATAGATAAATAAGCCATAGAGTTGATATTAGCGAAATTATTAAAGTACAGAATTCCACTGGAACGGATTAATTAATTAATTTAAATGAGGAAAATTGACTGCAAATGAGCAAATCCAGTTGCGAGCAAAGTCATGGAAGTGATTAGACTCGCAAGTAGAGATTCCACTGTACTTATTTTCTGCTTTATTCAGAATATCAACTATTGCCCACAGAAACTTTTAAAAAATGATAGCAAGCCAGAATCTTAGTAATACACACCATAAAGCATTAAAGAATTGGCTAAAGCGCAAAATATCAGTAATGCACAACGTGGTACACAGCTCTTTGCCCTCACACTGGCAACCCACGACAACAACAGTTGCATTTTTAAAACACCTTTTGGATATACAAATATGGTTTTGAGGATATTTAACCAAGAAAGATATCAAAAGTTTGTTAGGTGATGGTAAAAGTGTTAATTCTTTTTAAGTCAAATATACCTCAGTGGAAGACTATGGACTAGTCAAACAGAGAAATGCAAAGGGAAGGGAGCCAAAATACATACAAGAGGGAGCGGGGGACAGGATCAAAACTTCATAAGTTTGTCTTCTGCATGTAGGTTTATTTGTGTATTGTTTCAGCCATGGTACTGCCTTTTTATTTTCTTCATTTCTTTGATACCTTCCATTCTTTCGTGCATATACTGAACATACGCCAAATGCTCCAACATTGCAGTACACTTCGTTAAAGTATGCCGGTTGAGGGGAACCCGGCATTGATGTCAAAAGAAATATCCTATGCTGTTAGGTGTTCCGGTGAGACGAGGTTAAGCTGGCTTAACAACTTGTAGCAGAGCATCTCAGGATTTCCTAAGGCTGTTGGTTTCTTCTCGGCTTGTGTAGTGGAAGGATTTGTGTCTGTGGTCTCCCTGTTTCATATAGCCTTGAGGCCCAAGTTTGTTGGATATTTTTGGTTATAGACAATGTGGTCAAAAGTAGGTCACTGACACATGAGAAGTTGTACAGATCATTGGAGTACATAAGGCAGGGTAACAAACGAAGGAAATAGCTGAAACTATGGATGTATGTGAGCATTCAGCAAGGATCTGGTTGCATCGGTTCCTTGAGGACAGTGGTGATGACATGCCCACAAATTCATGTATAGGGAAGCATAGAAAAACATCTTCCTAACATAAACTGGAATAACGACCCCAGAATCACCTTGTGATCATCTTTTACACAATGTGGTTCAGGGTTTTTATACAAGACAGTAGTGTTTCTTGCCACACCACAGAATCTGTTGTTCATTAGCTTCGTGACTGTGAGGCACCCTTCTTTGATGACTGACCATGAAATTCCCCAGACCTGAATACCATTGAGAATCTCTGGGCTGTGATATTGAGGGATATTGGAGTATACTATCAACAAGTTGCATTGGAATTTGCACTATGAAATTCTGAAGAATGCATGTTAATCGCTTCCTAGACTGTTGATGGATGTCCTAAAGCACAAGGAATGACCTATTTTGTGGTTATGGTTTGAAAGAGATGCTGATATACAATAATGATGAGCACCATATATGCCCACCTGCTTTTAATATCTGTCTTAATCCCCATCTATCCCAGTTGCTGTACCCCTTTCATTCTGCCCACTGCCTTGTGTATTTTCCCCACATCCACCTCAGGCTGCTCCTGGTTCCTATCCTCTTCATCTTGCCATGACATCCACTTCATCTAACTTCTCCCTTCTTTCATTATTAAGAGCTAAGTTAATTTCCTCTCCATGCTTCCTTACTATTGGCATTATTTGTACGTACTATTGTATGGGATTTTTCAGGTGTAAAATTCTGTATTGGTATTAATTGTAATACAGTGGACCCTCAGTTATCGTAATTAATCCGTTCTGGAAAGTGTGACTAAAGCCAAATTTGATGATTTCCGAATTAATTTTCCCCATGAGAAATACGGTTGACCCTTTGTTATAGCCGATTTCGGTTTTAGCCAACTTTTTTGTCAGTTTTTTGGTTTCGTTTTTGTCGATTGTATGGAACCTGTCTGGTGCCCAGTGAGCAGACAAAGCCGCCTCCCACACCATTCTCAGCCAGTGTAGCTTGTTTCTCGGTGAGTGAACATATCCTGCCAGGTCATGCGAAACATTTCATAATAATCCATTGTTTTTGCCACTTGTTTATTGTGTATGACTGCTAAATAAGCCACTATGGGCTCAAAGAAAGCTTCTAGTGCCAGCCCTTTTCTGGCCCTAGAAACACGATATAATTCAAGAGAAAGTTTGTAGAAAAATGCTAAAGTGATGGTGGTAGAGGGTAGTAGTGGTTGTGATAATGGTAGAGGGTGGTAGTGGTTGTGATGGTGGTAGAGGGTGGTAGTGATGGTGATAGAGGGTGCCTTCTTCAGTGATTCAGCAATTCTACTAACTCCTCCAATGTTGTTGGAGTTATATAGGCCTACAGAAAACACCGCCGCCTCAGCTGCAGCCTTCACCAACATTATGTATGGCTTATGCTCACAGTGACCCATATACACCCACCAACAGCAGAACACCTGTCATTACATACATAATGACTTATTTTATTCATTCTAGAGTATATGTCATGTTTCTTTGTTATAAATATTGTTTATTATGTCATATTAGTTGAATTGTGATAGACAAATAAGCCGTAGAGTTGATACTAGTGTCATATTCTCCAACAATAAACTCGCCTCCCTCTCCCCTCTGCCCAGTCTGCCATTCACCAACAAGTCTTTTCAATAAAGGTAAGTGTGATGTTAAATGTTCATTTATACATTTCATTAGTGCTTTATATTTATTGTCATTCTTTAAGCTAGAGAAGGGACCCCTGATAAGGACTTGGTACGTAGAGTCCTTATGGAGGGGGATTCCCCTTCCAAACAATAACCTCTCTTCCCTTTCCCCTCCTCCCTGTCTTCAATCAACAACAGCCTTCAATAAAGGTAAGTGTAATGTGTAATGTTCATTCTTTTGTGCATGTAAATTTATCTTTAAGGTAAAAAAAAATTTTTTTGTTGATACTTCTGGGTGTCTGAAACAGATTAATTCCATTTACTACATTATTTCTTATGGGGAAAATGGTTTTGGTTTTGGCCGATGGCTCTGGAACAGATTAAACACGAAAACCGAGGGTCCACTGTAACGTAAATCCAATTAATCTGTTCCAGACACCAAAAAGTATTAAAAAAAATTTTTTTTTACTTGAATTATTCATTTACCTACACAGAAAACAATGAGACATAAAGAATAAATCAATAATATGACAGTTACCTTTATTGAAGACTCTTCTTATTGTATATTGAAAACAGGTGGAGGGGAGAGAATGGAGAAATTACTGTTTGGAACTGGAATCCCATAACATAAAGACTTCAGGTACCAAGTCCTTTTCTGGGGTTACTTCCCTTCTTTGTTTTTTAATGCCACTAGGACCAGCTTAAGTCACTGGACCCCTGTCACTCAAAAAAGTGTTCCAGAGAGGTCTGTTTCTGGTGTATGTTAGGAATTATGGCAGTGGCAGGGGAGTGTATTTGGAGTCAGGACAAGATAATCCTTCAATATGACATTAATATCAAATCTGCGGCTTACTTATCTAGCATAGTTCATCTAATATGACATGATAAACAATATTAGTAACATAGAAGCATGATATATACTCTAGAATGAATAAAATGTTGTATCTCTCTCCCCCTAACCAACGAGTGCTGCTGTATTGTTCGTTGTTGGGTGTAGTATAAGGGCCACTGAAAGATAAGCCTTACATAGTGGTGGTGATGGCGGCAGCAGAGACAGCGGTGTTGTCAGTCACCCTATATAACTCCAACAACATTGGAGGAGTCAATTTCATGCTGTCCTTTTTCTATAGATTAATCACTTAATTTGCTACACTGTTAATGCTACACTTTATCTCTGGCTGGCACTATAGCCTCTATCGACTCCTGCTGCTTTAGTATTGTACATATTGTAGAATCAGTGAAGAAGGCACATTCTCCCCTCTCTCAGCCCTTTACCAAAGGGTTGGCTGGCACTAGGAACTTCCTTGGGGCCCATGGAGGCTTATTTAGCAGTTGCAAGCCTTAAAAAGAATGGAATAATACGAAATGTATCGTATGAACGTGTGGGATCGTGCTCAATGGCTGATAAACAGTGGAACACTGAGTGTTGGGCTGCTGTTGCCATGCAGACGCATTCAGGACGAATGACTATGACTGAGCTCAGTGACGATCACCGAGCCAGCATTTTGACGAAAAAATTACGATTTCCGAATATTACGAAATCCGACGACTACAATATCCAGGGGTCCATTGTATGTTTGATTTTTTAAGCATAAAATATTTGATTTAATTATAGTACAGAAGTATAGCATATTGGGTATTTCCCTGAAATGCAATTTTGAATATGTAGATAAATAAGAGTCTTAAAGAAAAATGTACTTTTCTACATGTAATTTTCCTTAAGGATTTGTTTTGTGATTGTATGTTTGCCATTATGCAAGGGATGCTTGTAATCACTATTCTCTTGTACTGTACATAATAGTAATTATAGTCCTGATATCTTCAAAAAACAAAAAGAAAACTAATTAATATTTTTTTTGTGGACAGAGTTGTAGAGTTTGCAACATATGCTGATATGAAGGGAGCTATTAACAAGTTGGATGGCAAAGAGCTCCATGGTCGACGTATCCGCCTGCTCAATGACTCTTCTCGGCGACCCCGCAGATCACATTCAAGATCCTCTTCAAGATCTAGATCTCGGTCTCGTTCACGCTCCAGGTAAGAATTCTGAATAGCTGTTTACCATTCTCCAAAGAACAAGGCTTTAACACAATGGTAAGTAAAAGGGTGAGACAGCAACCACCCATTGAAATACTACTGTCTTGTTTAAGTGCATAACCCATTCTCTCTGCTAATGGTACTCGTGCAGATTTGAATGTTTCCTGGTGCTCCTTAGCCAGTGCATTGCCAGATGTGTTGCAACTTTTTATTTTTATTTCCTTGTTTGTGGGTAAACTTTATACTGTATTAGATTTCTAGGTTTGTGTATCCTAAGCTAACTCAACCTAAGCCAAAGAAAAATTTACAGCCTTTCCCTTGCTTTATGCAATTCCTGTGCTCCAGCCCCATGACACAAAGCAAACCCATTATAACTTGGTAAACATAGGGATTCATTCTAAGACTGCAAATTCTACTTTTTTAACTATTGATTTCCCTCCAAAAAATGAGCCTACCAAAGATGCACCTAATGTTCATATAGAAAACAGAAATTAATTTGGTAAAAAAATGGAAATATAAAATAAAAAATCAGTCATAATCCTTCTTTCAACAAACTGGTTGTATCCCACTGAAGCAGAGTGGCCCAAAAGGGAAAACAGAAGCTTCTCCTTTTAAATTTAGTAATATACAGTGGACCCCCGCATACCGTACAATCCGCATACCGGACGCTTTGATTGCAAAAATTTGGCCTCGCATACCGCCCAAAAACCCGCTCACCGTCCTTCGTCCGAGACGCGTCCAATGTGCGGCCTGAGCCAGCCTCATATGTTCCGCCGGTGGCATTGTTTACCAGCCAGCCTCCGCGGTAACATCCAAGCATACAATCGGAATATTTCGTATTATTACAGTGTTTTCGGTGCTTTATCTGGAAAATAAGTGACCATGGGCCCCAAGAAAGCTTCTAGTGCCAACCCTACAGCAATAAGGGTGAGAATTCCAATAGAAATGAAGAAAGAGATCATTGATAAGTATGAAAGTGGAGTGCGTGTCTCCGAGCTGATCAGGTTGTACAAGAAACCCAAATCAACCATCTCTACTATTGTGGGCAACAGAAAGGCAATCAAGGAAGCTGTTCTTGCCAAAGGTTCAACTGTGTTTTCGAAACAGAGATCGCAAGTGATGGAAGATGTTGAGAGACTCTTATTGGTGTGGATAAATGAAAAACAGCTAGCAGGAGATAGCGTCTCTCAAGCGATCATAAGCGAAAAGGCTAGAAAGTTGCATGATGATTTAATTAAAAAAATGCCTGCAACTAGTGATGATGTGAGTGAATTTAAGGCCAGCAAAGGTTGGTTTGAGAGATTTAAGAAGCGTAGTGGCATACATAGTGTGATAAGGCATGGTGAGGCTGCCAGTTCGGACCACAAAGCAGCTGAAAAATATGTGCAGGAATTCAAAGAGTACATAGACAGTGAAGGACTGAAACCTGAACAAGTGTTTAATTGTGATGAAACAGGCCTGTTTTGGAAGAAAATGCCAAGCAGGACCTACATTACTCAGGAGGAAAAGGCACTCCCAGGACATAAGCCTATGAAAGACAGGCTTACTCTTCTCATGTGTTCCAATGCTACTGGTGATTGCAAAGTGAAGCCTTTATTAGTGTATCACTCTGAAACTCCCAGACCGTTCAGGCAAAAGAATGTCCTCAAGGAGAATTTGTGTGTGCTGTGGAGGGCAAACAGTAAGGCATGGGTCACTAGGGACTTTTTCTATGACTGGTTACACCATGCATTTGCCCCCAATGTGAAAGATTACCAAACTGAAAAGAAATTAGAACTTAAGTGCCTCCTGGTGTTAGACAATGCCCCTGGTCATCCTACAGACGTGGCAGAGCGACTTTATGGGGACATGAAATTCATTAAGGTGAAGTTTTTGCCTCCTAATACCACTCCTCTCCTGCAGCCCATGGACCAGCAGGTTATTGCAAACTTCAAAAAACTGTACACAAAAGCTCTGTTTGAAAGGTGCTTTGTAGTGACCTCAGAAACTCAACTGACTCTAAGAGACTTTTGGAGAGATCACTTTAATATCCTCAATTGTGTAAACCTTATAGGTAAGGCTTGGGAGGGAGTGACTAAGAAGACCTTGAACTCTGCTTGGAGGAAACTGTGGCCAGAATGTGTAGACAAAAGGGATTTTGAATGGTTTGAGGCTAACCCTGAGAGGATTATGCCAGTTGAGGAATCCATTGTGGCATTGGGAAAGTCCTTAGGGTTGGAGGTTAGTGGGGATGATGTGGAAGAGTTGGTGGAGGAGGACAATGAAGAACTAACCACTGATGAGCTGATAGATCAACTTCAACAGCAAGAGGCCAGACCTGAGGAAACTGGTTCAGAGGAGGGGAGAGAGAAATTGAAGAAGTTGCCTACTACAAAGATTAAGGAAATCTGTGCAAAGTAGCTTGAAGTGCAAACCTTCATGGATGAAAATCACCCTCACACAGCTATTGCAAGCCGTGCTGGTGATTATTACACTGACAATGTTGTGAAACACTTTAGGGAAGTCATAAAGGAACGAGAGGTACAGGCCACTATGGACAGATATGTTGTGCAAAAGAAGTCCAGTGACTCTGAAGCTGGTCCTAGTGGCATTAAAAGAAGAAGGGAAGTAACCCCAGAAAAGGACTCGACACCTCAAGTCTTAATGGAAGGGGATTCCCCTTCTAAACACTAACACTCTCTCTCCCCTCCTCCCATCCCATCAATCATCATCAGATCTTCAATAAAAGTAAGTGTCATGTAATTGTGCATGCCTTTTTCAGTTTGTGTGTATTAAAATTAACATTTCATGTGGTAAAAAAAAAATTTTTTCATACTTTTGGGTGTCTTGCACGGATTAATTTGATTTCCATTATTTCTTATGGGGAAAATTCATTCGCATACCGAACATTTCGCATAACAACCAGCCCTCTTGCACGGATTAAGGTCGCTATGCGGGGGTCCACTGTATACAGGAGAAGGGGTTATTAGGCCCATGCTCCCAGCATTTTAGTCGCCTCTTACGACATGCATGGCTTAAAGAGGAAGAATTCTGTTCCACTTCCCCATGGAGATAAGTGGAAATAAACAAGAACTAGTAAGAAGTTAGAAGAAAATTCAAAAGGGTGTGTATATATATATATATGCTTGTACATGTATGTATAATGTTACCTAAGTGTAAAGAGAAGTAGCAAGACATACCTGAAATCTTGCATGTTTGAGACAGAAAAGGACTCCAGCAATCCTACCATTATGTAAAACAATTACAGGCTTCCATTTCACACTCACTTGGCTGGACAGTAGTACCTCCCTGGGTGGTTGCTGTCTACCAACCTACTGCCTAGGAGTCATAATCCTATACAATATAAAATCTGGAAAGAAAAAAATCAACTTTCCTGTACAGTGGACCCTCATCCAACAATTTTAATCCATTCCAGAGAGCTTGTCCTTAGCTGAATTTATCGTTAGCCGATATACATTTTCCTACACAGAAAACAATGATACATGAACAATAAATACTACGTGAAGAATAAATGACACTTACCTTTATTGAAGATATAGTGATGAGTGATGAGATGGGAGGAGGGGAGATGATGGTGGTGTATTATTGTTTGGAAGGGGAATCCCTTTCCATAAGGACTTTAAGTAACAAGTCCTTTTCTGGGGTTACTTCCCTTCTTTTTTTTAATGCCACTGGGAACAACTTGACAGTCACTGGACCTCTGTTGCACCAAAAATCTGTCCATAGAGCTCTGCACCTGGTGTTCCTTTAAGATTTTCCTAAAATGGGCCACAACATTGTCATTGTAAAGGTCACCAGCACAGCTTGCAATATCTGTGTCAGGGTGAAGTTCTTCCATAAAGGCTTGCACCTTTGTCCACATTGTACAAATGTCCTTAATCGTTGAAGAAGGCAACTTCCTCCATCTCTCTCTCCCCTCCTCTGAAGCAGTTTCCTCAGTTGTGGTCTCCTGCTGTTGCTCTTGCAGTTCATCAGTGGTTAGTTCTTCATCGTCGTCCTCTACCAACTCTTCCACATCCTCCCCACTAACCTCCAACCCCATGGACTTACCCATTGACACAATATATTCCACAACTGGCATAGGCTCCTGAGGGTTAGCCTCAAACCCTTCAAAATCCCTCTTGTACACATTGTGGCCACAATTGCCTCCAAGCAGAGTTCAAGGTCCTGTTACTCACTCTCTCCCATGCCTTACCTTTAAGGTTTATGCAACTGAGGATACTAAAGTGATTTTCCAAAACTCTCTTAGGGTTAGTTCAGTGTCTGAGGTCACTTCAAAGCACTTTTGAAACACTGCTTTGGTGTACAATTTTTTGAAATTTAAAATGACCTGCTGGTCCATGGGCTGGAGGAGAGGAGTGGTATTAGGAGGCAAAAACTTCACTTTTATGAAGCTCAACTCCCACAATTTGCTCTGGCAAGTCTGAAGGATGAGCAGAAGCACTGTCTAATACCAGGAGGCACTTGAGGTCCAATTTATTTTCCAGGAGGTAATTTTTCACAGCGAGGCCAAACACATGATAGAACCAATCATAGAAAATGTCCCTAGTGACCTATGCCTTACTGTTTGCCCTCCACATCACACATAAATTAGCCTTGACGACATTGTTTTTCTTGAGCACACTGGGATTTTCAGAGTGACACACGATTAGAGGCTACACTTTGCAATCCCCACTAGCATTACTACAAAACATTAGAGTTAGCCTGTCTTTCATAGGCTGGTAGTGCTTTTTCCTCCTGTGTAATGTAGGTCCTGTTTGGCATTTTCTTCCAAAACAGGCCTGTTTCATCACAATTAAACACTTGTTGGGGTTTTAATTTTTCAGTGTCTATGTACTCCTTGAATTCCTGCACAGATTTTTCAGCTGCTTTTTGGTCACAACTGGCAGCCTTACCATGCCTTATCACACTGTGTATGCCACTACGATTATTAAATCTCTCAAACCAACCTTTGCTGGCCTTAAATTCACTACATCACCACTAGTTGCAAGCATTTTTTT